TTTCTAAATAAATGAATGCAACCCCTGCTTTATATTGGGTCATCAGGAAAGTCATGACATATTTTTCATTTTCCTATGCAAAAATGTGTCATGACTTTCTTGATGACCTAGTATTTAATTATCTGATCAATTTACTTACTTAGCTATTCAATAGGGATGTGGACCTTAACCAATTTAGTATTTATGAACAATATTTCTCTTCATAATTGAGAGAAGCATCAGTAAAATAAGCAGAATTTTCACAAATTGATAAGCTGAAGTCACTAAGAAGTTGTTTGTTATAAACAGGATAATAAAGGCCTGTAGAGAAATAGAAATTTACCCAGAGCCAGACCTGTAGTCTAGTAGTTAAGGGAGCTGGAACCCACATGGCCAACTATAGTTTAAATGACAGCCCTGGTGGCTTGGAAAAACACACTAGGTACATGTGCATGCATGCTCAGAATCCCAACAGGATGGAGAAATGAAGAAGGGATTACAGCATGACCATTCCCCATTGGGAGAGTGCTTTTCCCCTCTTTTTCTGAATCTCAGTGGTGAGTGCACGTGTCCTCTGGGAATAAAAGAAAGCAAAGAAAGGAAGAAAGGAAAGAAGGAAGGAAGAAAGAAAGAGAAACAAAAAGAGGGGGAAAAAAAGAGAGAGAAAGAAAGGAATATATCCAAGCCTTATAGATTCTGGATCCAGACTGCTTCGTTTCAAATTTGGGTTCTACTGCTAACTTGCCTTAATTCCTCATCTATAGAATTGAAAGAATAGTACCTACCTCATAAGGTTATTATAAGGAATAATTTAGTACTTCAAAAATGTTTAGAAACATGTTAGACATTCTGTAGTGTTCATTAAGTAAAATACTAGCACTAGTAGGTCAGCGGGAAAGTCATGACATATTTCCCTGTTTTTCTATGCAACTAGCCCATATTATTTCTTTTCTGAAATTGATGGCAACTAGCTAAGTCTACAAAATGACCATATAAATCTGACACATAATTCAAATTGACACTAGATTTACATGTCTGCGTACAGTTAACTCGTTGCCTTAGCATGGTTCAAGTGAAAAAAAAGATTATTTTACTTTGCTGTACAGTTATAGGTGTCAACATCTCAAGTCTGGATTTTTTTTTTTTTAAGGGAAACTAGACAGCAAAGCAAGAAAGATGCATTGCTTCCTAGGTGTATTATGTTGAGAGCACAATTTTGACTTCCAAATCTCTAACATGTTCTTTTCAACATATTTATTGAGATATAATTTCAATACTATACAACTCACCTGGTTATCAGTAAACAGTGCTAGTGTTTATTTATTGATTGTTATGTCCCGGGCAATAAACATATAATTTCACTAATCTCCATAAAAATCCTTTAAGATAGGTATTAGTATACTCAATTTCATGATTATGCTAAAGATTCAGTGCTTTGCAGCTAGAACCTGAAGTGAAGTTTGAACTCATGTCTGTGAGGCTCTGACATACTGTTTCCATTTCATGTTGCAGGTCTTTAAAACATTACTTTGTACTCTTTTACCAAGTGGGTGGAAAGAAGGGGAGGGTGAGAGTGACCTTTTGCTATCCATGGTTACCAAAATTCTAATTTTTTAAACTGTCAGAAGAAAATCCAGATATAAGAAAGAACAGTAACTGGAAGTTGTTCTCGAACTGTCAGATCAAGGTTGAAATGACAACGCAAAGTAGTATTCTTACGCAGAAAAAAGCTATCTTAATGCTATTATGCGCAAACCATAATGCCAATGTACGTTACTTTCACTTGGAAGGGTTCAGCATTTAAGGTTTTTTTTTTCTTTTAATATTTTAAAAAGAATTATTTGTTTAATTTTATTTATCATTATTATTATTCAATTTGACCAGGGAGAAAGAGAGAAAGAGAAACCAAGCCACCAGGTCCAGATTTCAACCATGGTCAGCCATGTGGGAGTCCAGGGTCTTTATCACCACCCCATCTGCTTAGGGATCAGCATTTCTTACCAGCATAGCTACATCCATCTTTACTCCATTTACACAAAATAAGTGAGGCATTAAAAACATGGGAAAACACGGGAACCAGCAGTTAGCGTAATGGCTATGTCGCTGGACTCCCACGTAGTCGACCGCGGTTCACATCCCGGACCCGGTGGCTTAACACTCACGCCAGGCACATGTGTGTGCGTGCCTAAGATCCCGAGAGGAGAATGGAGGAGAAGGGATTGCGGCATGACCATCCCCCCTGGGGGGTGATTTCTCGCTTTCTGTCTCTATGTCTCTCTCTGTCTGGCGAGCGCACGCGCCCTACAGTGAAAATCTCTCCAAAAAAAAAAAACATGGGAAAACAAAAGAGATCATGTGGGGATTCTTGTCTATCTTTTAGACTTTTCAAATCATTATCTTATTAAAACGGAATATCTTCATGCTTGGAAACATGTGAGCAGTTTTGCCCTAATTCATTTATCATACAAATAGGTAGTGTTTACATGTTAGGTAGGACTGTGCTAGTCGCCAGGGGCACAGAGATTAATAATAATAATAATAAAATTTTTAAAAAAAGATTAACCCAGTTCCAGTTCTTGAGGAGTTTACATTTTAGGTCAGGCTCTCGCGAGAGGCAATGAGTGTGCTATAATGTACATAGGCCGTGGGCTTCGCAACTTGGTTGATAAACTTGCCTTTCCACTTGCTATGTGCCCTCGGCGTTTCATTTTTGACAGACTCGATTTCCCCATCTGTAACATAATCGTTGGCTTCAAAAGCTGGTATTATCTAGTTTCAACTCAGGTACAAGCATCATGAGATGAGGCTAAGGAAATGTTACTCTCTGTCCGTGGGGAGGTTTTCTTGCACGTTTTCTTCTTCAATGCTTGGCATAGTTCAATACATATTTCACTGCCTGTCCACCGGGGAACTGGGACGTGTTTTTCACTGCAGCTTAGTTGGCTGGGTGTGCCTGGGGAGGCGTCACAAAGAGCCTATAAAAGATCCGTACCTACAGCAAGAGTAAGACGCCTGGAAGGAACCCAGGAAGGGCACGGTGACCAAGCCTTCCCTTTGGGAGTTCCTTCTACCAACACACACAGGGACTTGCGGGGGAAAGCCCAGTCACGGAGCTGCTAAATTTTCTGCCATATCTTAGCAGCCCCCACGCCTCCCGCCCCACCCCACCGTCCCCTACCCGCAAGCGTGAGTGAATGCGCAAATAAGGCTGTTCAGGCGCCTGTGGGAAAGAGGGCGGGGAAGGCGAAGTCCGGATGGATGGGTGGCCATCGCTCAAGCAAGACAGCGCCCGAGCCCTCGGCGAAGAGACTGAGAATCCGGCGGCCCCAGGCCCCGGGAGGCCAAGGCGAGATGCCGAACGGGAGGGGACCGGTGGGGGGCAGCAGACCACGGCCGTGCGCCCAGTCCGCCCTCGGGGCCGCCTCTTGTCCCAAGGCGCACCCCCTCCGTTTGCGTCTCTTTTGGTTCGACCTGCCGACTGGGAGGGGCTGCGGGGCGCCATTCCCACAATGCTCTGGGGCGTGCCGCCGCCGTCGCTGCCGCCTCCGCTACCGCTAGTGGAAGAAGATGGCGGAAGGCGGAGCGGCGGATCTGGACACCCAGCGTTCTGACATCGCGACGCTGCTCAAAACCTCGCTCCGGAAAGGGGACACCTGGTGAGAGAAAGGGACTGAGGTGGCCGCGGTTGCTCGAGGGTGGTGGAGAACTGGGCGGAAACGGCGGGCTTGGTGTCGTTTCGCCAGTGACAGGTGCGGGCAGGTCCGGCGGCGGCCGCCCTGGGCAGCAGAATTTTGGCTGCTCCCGAAATGTTGGGGCAAAGGTTGGACCCGAGATGAGGGTCAGCGGTCGTGGCTTGTTCTGGCGGGGCGGGAGGGGGGGCGGGAG